TGCCCGCCGTTATCGTAGGGCCCATCTTTGACTGCTGAACTTTGCATAGCTTTCAATCCTTGGGCAAAGTTTCTCGCACCGATGAGCTTGTTGTTGCTTAGAGATGCATTGAACTCACATTCCCTTTTCCACTTAGCGGGCGGACGAGGCATACCTGTTAAAGAAAAGGGAAAGTTAGAATTTAAAATTATAACTCTCAACCCCTGCGACAACCTCAAAGTTTTGGTGTAGTGTAGGGCAACATAGGTTCCATTCCCATAGGATTTAAAGTAGAATTGAAAAAAAAAATATCGCTAGGTGAGTCTAAATTTCAGTCCACCGAAAGGGCTCTTAACCTATAGAACATGTTAGAATATAAAATTCATAACCGTTAACCCTCACCGCAATTTTAAATTTTTTTTTTTTTTTTTGCAGAGGGTCCTTTAACTATAAAATAAAAGGGAAGATATAGACATTCATGAAACTTGAATGTTTGAAATTAGTATATGATTCCAAAAACATTTTTTTTGCACCAAACCTGTAACTATACCTTCATCATGAAACGAAGGATGATCTGGTGCTACTCCTGTGTAAAAAATGCCGATGATGACACCCTTTCCATAATTAGAATCGTTCCAGAAGCCTGGAGTGTGCCGATGCAGGCCCAAGAAATTGGGAGTGTGGGTTGTATGCAGAGGGACTGTTCGGTCTTTGTGGGCATGAACCAAGCCAGATTTCTTCTTTAGCTTGAGCAACTCTCTTTCGCTCAATTTTGCAGCAAATCCGCTGATGATGTTCTCGTAAGAATAAATCATACGAGGCTCGGTAGAGCTTGAGCTTGCAATTGTAACGGGCAAGAATGAGTTGTACCATTTTCGTTGCTCATCAAAGCTGGCAATTGAAGCTAAAGATGGTGACCTGTGTACATGGATTATGTATGTCTCTAGCTTTTCTTTAGGCTTGGCATGAGAGACAGGTAAAAATGGACAATAGTAGGAATATGAGAGAGATGGTTGAGATTGAGTAGAGTTTATGACTTGGATCCATTGCTGATGTTGAGGGAAAATATGTGCATAAGCACATTATATATTTAAGTGTTTATGGTTGTGATTAATGTTTATTTTCCCCCCTTTTTAAGGAGCTAAGGGATATTTAATTTGTAGAGTGATGTAGGAAAAAGCTGGATGATTGATACTGTAGCCTTTACTTGACAGAAACTCAATTTTTCATTTAAAATTTGATCAGGTCTCATTTGAGGAAAAAATATCATGATTATAAGTTTATACATATTAAAAACAATAGAAAATGGTTGAGATAGAAATGCTTCTTCTGTTATCAATGGAGAACAACTATTGTTTTAAAGTATTTCTCTATGTTGCAGTTTGAATTATTAGCTTACTATTCTGGATTCAGCTTACACTTTTCTACTCTTGAGATTTTTTTATTTCTGTTGCACATTTTAGTGATAAAAAATCAAATATTGGAGAAAACACAGTTTCTGATCGAATATTTTCATAATTTCTAAGTATTTGTATCCATCACTGTTGTATTTGTATTTATTATTGAAAGGTTAGTATAAAAATCTCTGTAAACTATCATAACGTCATCAATAAAAGAAAGTTTCTACAGTATTTGTATTTAGTGATAAAAATTTTAGTCAGATAACACAAGAAGGAAAAGGAAAGAAAAATTAATGTAATATTGTCAATTGAAAACATCAAAATCAATATTAATTTTTTTGATATACAGAAGGTGCAAGGAATTTGAGCTAAAATTATTCTCCTTCTCCTCTTCTTTTTTAAGCTTAATTTGCTAGCTTGCATCTCCATTGAGTACACGGAAATGTAACCCATTGTTTAGGGACTCATTGACCTGTGAATCTGTGATAGGAGGTGTAATTATTTTTGTTTAATGACCATCTTAATTATAAAATAAGCCGACCTCAGCTAATCATCAAGGATGAGGATACTCCAATTGTAGGTTTAATGCATCCCCTGAAACCAAAAAATATTGTGATTCAAAATAAATTTACAAATATCTGATGTGGGACTATCTTGTTTTTACAAACAAATACTAACATGCTCTAATGATTATGTATTAAGAGCATCTTAATCAAATTCTTAGGCTTAACTAATCTCATAGCGCGCAAAGAAAATCGATTAATGTCATCACAATATCACTAATCTTTCTCAAAGGGATTAGGATAACGGTTTTGTTACCCTTCTTTCGTTAGAATGTCTTCGTTATATAAATTCAAGATAATGGGGCATCATCTTTACAATTAAAATACCAAAATCATAAATTGTTTGAGATATCATACTCCCTTTAAAAGCACGAGTTCGGGAAAATCTTTTCATGGTCAATATTACTCTTCATTATTTTGAATATTTTATTTAAATCTTAATCTATTCTAATTCTAATTGTACATTATCTAATCCCACGTAAACTACCTAATAGCTCAACAATTAAAAAAAAAGATTAACAAACTACATGAAACATTATTTTGAATATTTTAACTACCTAATAGCTCAACAATTAAAAAAAAAGATTAACAAACTACATGAAACATTATTTTGAATATTTTATTTAAATGTTAATCTATCCAAATACAAACTACATGAAACATTATTTTGAATATTTTATTTAAATGTTAATCTATCCAAATACTAATTATATCCCATATTAACCCGCATGAACCGTCCATAGCTCAATAATCTAAACAAATAAAATTAAGAAATTCTACATAGATAACATATTATAATACATGAAGTATTACAAAGAAACCCAATTTTTTTTTAAAAAAAAATACACACAATATCTTTAAAAGTTTAGAATTACCCAAAACATGCTGACTTTTCAAAACTTAAAACAACAAACATAAAATCTAAAAATTAACAATAGCCCCAGGAATTTGAAATTGCAAAAATAACCTCAAAAGTTTAAATTATAAAAACGCACCATAAAATTCAGTGCTTTTAAAACTTACAAACAACATAGACGGATTCCACAGATTACCATTAGGCACTTGAAAATTTAAAATTTGTAAAAAAAATTCAAAGTTACAAAAATTATGAAAAGTTCAAATTATAAAAACACGTCCTAAAATTCAGAGATTTTAAAACTTGCAAACAACATAAACGGATTCCACGGATTACCTTTAGGCACTTGAAAATTTAAAATTTGTAAAAAATCTCAAAGTTACAAAAATTACGAAAACTCCATCAAAAGTTAAAAATCTCAAAAAATCATGAAATTTAAAAAGTTATAACTCGTAGATATCACATCTGGAAGTTATCAGCAGATTGCTGGAAATTAAATTTTTTTTAAAAATAACCCAATGTTTTAGTAATTGTAAAAAAAACTCAAAATTTTAGAGTTGCAAGAAACATCTTAACATTTGAACTCTCATAATATGAAAATTACAAGCACCAAACATAAAATTTAAAATTTTTAAAAAATCTATCAAAGTTTAAAAATTACAAAACACCCCCTCAAAGTTCAAAATCACAAAAAAGCTAAAATTTGGCAAAAAAAAGTGTAACTGTTTGATATTCTTTCATCAAGATATATAAATTTAACTTTCAATTTAAAGTTTATCATCCCTTTTCAGTATCTAAAAGTAGTCTAAGTTGATATTAGTAAAAAATGGCAATTACAATAAATTAAAACTATTCAGTTAAGGAATAAAAATTTTAAAAATATATGGTAGATTAAAAATTAATGTTGTTATATAAATTTAATGAACTGCATATAATTTTACTAATAACATTAGTTAATAGAAGACTAAATTATATAAAACTGATAAAAGACTATAATATAATAAGTTAGCATTAATTGATTATAATGTATAACCATTCATCTCTGATGTTATTAATATTTATAGAGTAAAAAAATACAAGGAGTTAACGGATCCAAAGGGATAACCTCTTGGAGCTCCGTTATACCTCCCTCAAACCGCAGGCCTATCTCAGCTTCAACAGCTTGTAAATCAACTTCTCATTATATAATTATCTGCTTAATTCACCATATAATTTGATGTGTCAAAACTGGAAGCATGTTTTGCAATAGCTCAATAGCATGATATGTGACCATAGATCATTTGGAGATGACAAGGAGTAACAAGTTTATGTATAGAGAAATTATCAGAAAGTTCATAGATATCCTTTAAAAAAATCAAGTTATTTTCATTTCAAATGGAGAAGTGAAGGAAATAAACCTAAAATTCGAAAATATTCATGAATCACTTGAAGTGACATTCACAAAAGTTATATCTAGCAAAGAAGCACCAACTGAATTCCCCTTAAAGAACATATTGAACAACTTTGTCCCGATCAAAAAAGCATTTTCTATAAAAGATACAAGAAAAATTAGTAAGCGTTTATAAATTTTCATACTTTATTCTTGAAATATTAAAGGAATCATAAACTTAATATAAATAAATAATCTTATAATAGAAACTAAAGTGAAGTCATTGATCAACTATGTTACGGGATATAATAAGCCAGATAAGATATGGGAAATCATTATAATAGACAGAAGGTATACACATGATACTTAGTTACAATAGCATAAGTAAAAAAAAATTCCTATATAGCGGCATGACTTTGCAAGTAACTTTATTTGGGGATATGATTACTAATGAATGATCAATTTTTAAAGACATGATCAAAGATAAACATGTAATAGCATAGTTAGATTTCAAAATCTTTAAATATGAAGGTAATATATTTTACTTCTAAAATTTTTATTAAAAGTCACTAAATATAAAATTCACATTATATCTGTCTCAAAATTATGTGGGAAATATGCATGCCATCGTAAATTATGTTAACAATACATATCAACCCAAAGATACAACTTATTGAAGAAATAAGAGAATGGTAAGTAAACCAAGCAAACATCCATATAACAAAATAAAGAAAAAATATTGCACTTTAAATCTAATGTGCATGATTCATTCATAATAAGCTGCTAAAATAAAAGCATATCCAACAAGGCTCTTTACAAATACAATACAAATTTAAACTATTGATATATGCAATCATCACAACATTCAAAGAGGTATGTTCTTACAATACCTACTCTAAAATGTACACAATTAAATTTAAAAATACTCTACCAATATACAGACACGCTGTTGGACATATAATGTAAAGATAACTACCATTTACAATATAGTTGAGCCGTGGTTCTAGCTTGCAAAGGCTACAACAAGAAGGTGGATAGTGATGTTACTAAGAATGTCTAAGTGATAAATGTCACAGAATCACTGATGATGTAATACCAATGTTGAGTAATGTCCCTTCTTCATGAAATAAACATATCAACATTAAATATTAACATTATAATCTAAGGCAATTTGATAATAAAAAATACAGTTATTTGTTCAGATTCTTGTGAAAAATGACATAGACAGAGCAAAAAAGTAATATTATTTAACGCAATAGAAACTCTTATTGAATGCATACTAGAAAAAATTCATTGCAGAGAAAAAAGAGGTAACTCCTAACCTTATTTTAAAAATAAATTAGAAACACAATATATATTATATATATATATATATAATATATATATATATATATATATATATTATATATTATATATATATATATAATATATTATATATATAATATATATTATATAGAAGAGGAGAGAGAGAAGAGAGAGAGAAATATGGGTATGCTGGTACCAACATAAATTTATGCTTAGTATGATGTGTCACATCCACATCCACTCTTACCCATGTGAATGTGGTCCCATATTGAAATGAGTGGAGGGAGATGTGACACCTCACTACCTAGCATACCCATATTTCTCATAATATATCATGTATATATATATATATATTTATATTATATCTTATATATATATATATATATATATATATATATATATATATATTATATATATATATATATATTATATTATATATATATATATTATATATATATATATATATATAATATATATATATATAATATATATATATAAATTAACATTTAATCTCATTAAAACATAAAAATAATCAAAGTCTGTATTTTTAAAAGTTTTTGTTGAATATCGAAAATACATTTAACTTCTTTGTGAAATAAGACGTGAAGATAGAAGATGAAAGAGCTCATGGAAAAATAACATCACAAGAAATCCAACTCCAACCTGATGTCACAATCAACGTAGACAACGAAGACACAACTCTAGAATTGCTTAGGAAGAAGATAAATGTAAAGAATGATTGACCTTAACTTAAAAAATAAAATAGAAAGAATAATGTAGGTTGTCTAAAAATCACAATAGATAGCTTATCCCCCATCAAATACCGATGATGGAAGTTACAATCTGACGACTTCCAGAAGGCCATAATTTGAAGACTTTCACGTAGATCGCTGGAGGTTACAATCTGACGACCTTCACGACAACTGATGAAAGCTCTAATTCAACAGCCTTCACAATCAACATCGGGAGTTACAATCTGATGACTCTCATATTTTCAAGGAGCCAAGACGAAGGTTATAAGGTAACGATCTTTGCAACGCTCTAGCAAAAGAGACTACAAATTGACGGTCTCTTCATATTAAAACGCAGATATCTCTCAAACCGTAAGGAATTTGGCAAAACGGAGGAAGCGAACTGAAGCCTTTGGCTCAATTCAGATGGCTCCGTCTCGTCGAGATAGCCGATTTTTATATATAATTCGTCCAATTCCGACTTACGGTTTAAAAGTTATGACCTGTTCTTCGCAGCAAGTTATGTTCTGAAGTCCGTCTGTGAGACTGCACTTCGCCTGAGCATTGGACTTAGCATGAAGTTCGTCGAGCCCACCTAAGGATCACCTCTGCATCCAAGATTCAAAACGCAAAGGTCATGCCCGTGTTCTAAACTCAAAACGCAGAGGTCGTGACCTCATTTGAGATTCAAAACACAGAGGTCGTGACCTCATTTGAAATTCAAAACGCAGAGGTCGTGACTGCGTTCCAGATTCAAAACGCAGAGGCTGTGGCTACATTCCAGAGTCCAAACGCAGAGTTCGTGGACTCAAAGCGCAGAGTCCATGCAGAACCCACCTCTGCGTTTCCCAAACACAAAACGCACACGGACTGTGCGTTCTCCAGCAGACATCTAACTCTGTGACGCAGAGTTAAAGCACAAACGCACACATAACGTGCGTTCTTCAACAAACTCAACCATGCGTCCCAAACTCTTGATGCAGAGTTGAATTTCAACGCACAAGTGACCTGTGCGTCTCCAATTCCAGAACGCATGCGGCCTATGCGTTTCAAACCTTTGACAAAGGTTTAACTCTACGTCTCAGGCCTTAGACGCAGAGTTAAGGTCCAGAACGCCAAATTAGGCGTTTGACTTGTTCAAACACAAGCCGAACGGCCTCAAAACCGTTATCCCACGTTCTGAGGGATTTTCGCCCACTTAGGAGCGGATTTAGGGGTTAGTTATACCCCTAATCCCCCTATAAATAACCGACTTACTCAACTGAGTAAGGGGTTGACGTGTGCTGGCATTAAAACCGCTTAAGGTTAGCAGATCTCGGCAGCAAAAAACCGCACGAAGGAGGAGATTTCTCTGGAGATCAACAAACTACTCAGTAGTTAGCAAATTGAATCTGAGGGGATCCCTTCATCAACGGCAAATCAACTTGGCTATCAACTGAATCTTCGGTTCTAACAATTCTGTTACAGAGTTTCAACTCGCTCTGAGTTCTGAAACTCGTTTAAGAGTTCGTAATTAAACTTGCAACGCGAGTTAATTGCACTAATCAATTATTCGGTCCTTAACAACTCTTTTCAGAGTTTTCAACTTGTTCAGAGTTCTTTACACTCGTTAAGAGTTCTAAACCGAATTCATCAAGCAAATCAATCGTTTTCGTGAGATAGTACGGTCGGATCGTCAACGGAGAGCAAGTTCGACGCAAGCAATCGAAGGAGGCACTCTATCGCTACCAAGAAGAACCCAGTTTTAAACAAAGGGGAGAATCAAATTCATTCTCCTCTCTTTTGTAATCGGAATCCAAATTGTAATCGATTTTGAGAGAATACAAATTAATTTTTCTTTCATTGTCTTTTTACTGCAAATTTCCAACAAACAAATAAAAGATTTATTTTTCGAATTTTATAGAATAACTTAATTTTTTGAGTAAAACCAGGAATATTTAGAAGGGATTCTCATCAACTCTTTTAAGTATTTTTATATGATTATGTGGATGATTTTCTCATATAAAAGTGTACTAGAGTTATCATTAATCTTTAGCTTATGATTTACTCTGAAGTTTATGTATGATTAGCAACAAACTTTATATTCTCTTTAGTTTCGCTCTAGCACACGTTAATTAATCATATCTTGGCTTATTGGCTTTAATTATTCATCTTTTTTTTATAATGCTATTTTTAAGTATTTTTTACTTTTATAACATTATACTTTCTCAAACCAAGCTTTGTTTCATGTCGGTCCAAATAACGTAAAAATTCAAATTAGTTTTAGATTACATTTGTTTCCTAGCAATTCAATTATCAATCATGAAAATTTAAATTTAGTGTAGCCCATTTAAACAAACATCAAAGAAAATAAATATATAAAGTTTCTTAGTCATTAATCTATATATAGGCGACAAGAAAATTTAGTGTAGCATGTAATCTCAATATAATATAATATATATATTATATATATATATATATATATATATATATAGAGAAATATGGAGAACCTTGGTACCAAGTTCTTTCATTGAACTTGGTAGTCGAGGTGGCCAAATCTAGCCTTTACATCATGCCTCGGAGATGGAGCCTCTTTTTTAAAAGTAGGGTGAATAGTAATTGAGGCTCTCTCTCCGAGGCATGATGTAGGGTCTTGATTTGGCCACCTCACTACCAAGCTTCAAATGGAGAAACTTGGTACCAAGGTTCTCCATATATATATATATATATATATATATATATATATATATAGAAAAATGGAGAAACTTGGTACCAAGTTGCTCCAAGCAACTTGGTAGTGATGTGGCATAATCTTGTCCCTATATCTACATTGGAGTTGGTGAAGGGTGGTTGTGGCTCTATCTTCAAGATGTGATGTAGGGGCAAGATTATGCCACATCACTACCAAGTTGCTTTAAGCAACTTGGTACCAAGTTTCTCCATTTCTCTCATATATATATATATACTAGTTTTTATGCACGTGCAATGCACGTGGTTAAATATTAAAAAAATATTATTTTATATTTATTTCATTACTTTAAATAAGTAAGATTTATCATGAGTTCAAATATGTATTATTGAATTATAAGATTTATTAGTATTTTATTTAAATATTAAAAAAATTAAATGTAAAGGAATTTAAGCTAAATTTGGATGAATATACGTATCTGGCATATAGTAATTGTTAGTATGAATTTTAGTTATAGTAATGTAGAAAATATTTCAAAAATTTAAGTTATTTTAGATATTTTTTGACTTAAAAAGCTAAGATCATTGTTTGATTTATTGCAAACTTGTAAATTATTTTTGTTCTAAAAATTTTTAATTGATCACTACCACCAACACTTAACAGGAACTTAATTAAAGTATGAAAGTAAATCTTGTTCAAATTTGGTCCCTTATTCAACATGGCAACAATCTCAACAAGTAATAATTAGTAAGCCAAGGTTTTTTTTAAAACAATGAATATTGAGGTTTGTGACAACCCCAAGCAAATTTATCACAATAGTAATTCTTTGCCAATTGGTTAAAGATGTCACCTTTATATCATAAATGATTGATCACATGTTGCGCTATCCATAGACAATAATAAAATATAGTAAAATGATTATATATCAAAGTGTAATTTTATGTGATGTAAACAATCACATAAGCATACAAAACTACTATAAAGTTAAATACATGCTGCGGTAGCTATCAAAAAATAAGATGTTATATAAAATGATTAAAAAATATTGTTCTTGAAAATTTCTAATTGAACCAAGATCAATCTTTCTCCACCTTTATCTTTTTTCTGGGCAACTCTAGAGTAGCATCTTCATCATCTACGTCGATTGTAATATCAGACTGGAGTTGAATTTCTTGTGCTATTATATTGCCTTCGCCTCGTTCATCTTTTGTCTTTTCATCTAACTTCACCAGGAATTTGAATGTTTTTCCGATGTTCAAAACAAATTTTTGGAAATATGGACTCTGATTATTTTTCTGTTGCAATGAAAACAAATGTTATATTAATACTTATGAATTTGTTTATTTTCTAATTTACTACTTGAATAGAGTTAGGAATTACCTCTTTCTTTTCTGTAATGAATGTTTCTGCTTTGCATCCAATAAGAGTTTCTGCTGCGTCAAAGAGTGTTACTCTTGCATTATCCGTTCCATTTTCCACGAGAATCTTAACTAAGTACATGTATTTTTCATTGTTAATTTCTAAAGATAATTAGTATTGTATTTTAATATGTTCATGGCATTAAAAAATATATATTACTTAACCTTGGTACTGGGTCATCAATGATTCTGCGGCATTTGTCATTCAGACACTCTTTACTAACATCTTTATCAACCTTCTTGTCACAGCCTTTGCAAGCATAGAACCATGGCTCGAGCCTATTTAAAATAGTAGTTATCTTTACCTTAAATGTGCAATATCGTGCCTGTATATTAACAAAGTTTAGTTAGATTTAAATTTGTAGATAAGAATATGTATATAATATTGTACCTGTATCGAATTCTGTGACTTATGCATAATATCACTAATATGAATTTCCTTGGCATTTTTAAAAAGCGTCGATGGAGATCATTTTGCTTTTGCAGTTTCTTCCAATTGAAACCTGCATATTATATTAAAAAATAATAATATTCCATTATTGGATTATATGAAAGTATGCATGTGGAGTTATATTTTTTTGTATCTGATTAATACTCATGACTACACTTGAGGCCATATCGCCTTCTGATATATGTATTTATATTATGCTGATATTTATTTTCCTCTACATATTCTTTTTTGGTATTATTACCTCTGTCTTGTTCTACATATTGGTATGAATGGGTTTTTGCCTTTTGTCCCCCCTAGATTTATTTTACTTGCAGATTCATGCTTCACATTTTCTAATTCACCCTTACATTCTCTCGCACTATTTTTCGCTTTTCTTGCTAAGACAATAACATCCGGATGAGTAAATTAGTAATTATATAGATTTTACGGTGAACCGAAAATAGCAATAGATTTACAGGGTATTATTGTATGTGAACAAAACATCCCTTATTTTTTCATGAAGCATGGGTACTTTTCATTTTATCTATTCTCGTTTTGAAATTTAATTATATCAAATGACAAGATGTTACCCCCTCGTCATTTTATCTATTCTCAGTTTGAAATTTAATTGTGCTAGATGACAGGAAACTTCCCCGAACGCCGAAGAATGTAAGCATAAATTAGCAATGATTTGTATTCTATAGATGGATTGATAAGATAAATTTGGGTTTATATGTATAAATGTTTTTTCCTTGGTGAAGAGGTGGGGACAGATTTTCAAAACCGGAAAAAATGAGAATTCTCAGTAAAGCAGTTCCCTGAGGGGGTGTTAGTCAATTGGGACATTTTCATGCAAAATGGGATAATTGTTAAAGTGGAATAATATTTCGCTAGTGGGATATTTTAGTGGGATAACTAGGAACAATTTTGTGAAGCGGGATATTTTGATAAAATAACGTGGGATAAATTTTTATAATCATGAAGTATATATTTATGCATTTTGAAGATATAAATACTATTTATGTATTTTAAACTTACTATTATTAATTGATAATTACTTACAAGCTATTCGTTACTATTAAATAACTTTTGGTTAGACTATAAGATATTGACAATTATTATTATGATGACGGTAACCATAATAGGAAATAAGTAAAGGAAAAAAATAAAAAATAACAAAATAAATACGAGTTCTAGTTTTTTACCACATAGTTCCAAGCTAAAACTTGGAATAATTTGAGAGACTAGAACTCTCATTTTTGTATAGAAAAATAAAAAAAGTGGGATAATTTTGTACCATTATCCCAATTCTAGTTTTGTTAAAGTTCTGCTTGACTAACACTGTAAAATTTTATTCTAGTTTTAGTTCTATGTGACTAACACCTTAAAATTTTATTCTAGTTTTAGTTCTATGTGACTAACACCTTAAAATTTTATCCCACAGATTATCCCAGTTCTAATTTTAAGTTCTAGGTGACTAACCCCCCCTGAAGGAACTATTTAGTAAACAACATGTTGCAAAAGCACAAAGGGATTAAAAAAAGATGTAAAGGAACCGATGTTTCTTGACAATAGCAAGTCATATGGGTTGTGAACATGCTTAACATTCAGCATTGTATTTAATTTTCATAACATACTAAGGAAGATGTCAAACTTAAAGAATAACTCAAATCAAAGTGACATTTAAAGGAACATGGAAGGAAACTGGACTCACAAAAGTACAGATATAAATAAACATCGTCCAACTGAAATCTAACTCTCTCTGCTTTTATATGTAACCATCATAAATTAAAAACACAATAGATAATCCTCCTCTATAAAACATATATGTAGTAAATTTATTACAAACATTACAAACTAAATAGTTCCGTGAAACATATAAATTTGTATAATATTATATTATACTCTTTAATGTATAAAGTTTCCGCGTTAGCGAAATTTTGTCGGCGAGGTGGTTATTTTATCCCTCTTTTTCGTGAGAAGCCAAATTGATATATGGTAGCAATTTAATAGGTTGCTAATATTGCTAATTTGGGTTAGTGTATTAATTAATAGCATTAATTAATCTAGGAACAAGGAGGCGTGTTAATGGATATAATTTGGTCGTCTAATCGGATAACTTTTCAAAGTTTTCCGTGCTTGTTAACTTTGGATTTTGTCCCTATAGCTTCACAAAAGATTACTTGCATGTGAGGGAGCTTTACCTCATCTTATGACACGATAGTTAGATTAAAAGTTTACGTGGAGGGTTTCAGAAACTTTGAAAATTCTTGTAGAGGATATAGAATAATAGCCTTATTATCTTCCAACGGATATGATATTATGGATATGATATATAAAGTAATTAATCGGGGATTGATAGGATTTGTTATTACGGGCCGGATTTATATAACAAACCCATAAAATAATTTGTTATCAATCGGATATGATATTTATTAAAGTTAGTAACAACATCATTTCTTATCATTAAATTAAATTTAAAAATTAGAATTTGATTATAGATAGGATAGTTCAAACTTTATAGGGGTATATATCATTAAATTAAATTTAAAAATTAGAATTTGATTATAGATAGGATAGTTCAAACTTTATAGGGGTATATTTGTCTAAAAAAGATGATTATAGATAGGATAGTTCAAACTTTATAGGGGTATATTTGTCTAAAAAAGATTTTTCCTAACTCGTGTTTTAAAGTGAGTATGATACAAGAGAAATTAAGTCAATAAACGAGGTACTCGAAATTCAGCAAAGAACTTAATTATGAATGTAAACCGCCGAAGACTTCGCAATGGAAACATGCTACAGACTACCCAAGAATAGCAATGATCATGCAATCACATACAAATTAACTCATTAATTCGGCTGCTTTATTTAACAAAAACCTGACACATGTCTAATTCTGAGAAGGACACGAGATACACATGATGGCCACCTGTCAAACATAACAATATAACATGCCTTCATAACAAAAATATACATGCTATATAACTTGAAACACCATGGAGGAAGATGTTCTAGATCTCTTTCCTGTTTATTGAAGGGCAAAGGACTGAGTATTTAGGGGCAAGATAAAGACGCTAATATACCAGACCCCTTTGACATAAAAAACACGGACCTATTCACAATTGTTGTATATATACAACAAATACTTTAGACTTCAATATTCTCACCTAGACGATAATTAGTCTTGAAGAAATACAAAATAAATAGAATGTTTTGTTAGGCTTGGAAATATTATATTTCTATACTATGCCTTATAATAAAAGATTATTGACTTAGTATGTTTTGTTAGGCTTGGAAATATTATATTTCTATACTATGCCTTATAATAAAAGATTATTGACTTAGTATGAATGTGTTGTAATCTACACAAAAACTGAAACTACTTAAAAACATGCAAATAAATCTAAATTATAATAATATCAAACATGCAAAAACTGAAACTACTTAAAAATATGCAAATAAATCTAAATTATAATAATATCAAACATGAAGATTTACCTTTATAGATGGGAGAACCTGCAACAATCAAATCCTTAATCACCGAAATTCTGCAATAAAATTGAAGTAATTTTAAAAAAAATTAAATTGCCTTAAAATGTAATTGCAATGTAAAACAAATATCACCATCACCATTCGCCATTAAATCAAATACACAATATTTCTAAAGAATAATTATGCATGAAAATAATATATATAATAAAGAAACATACATGTTGAAGGAGATGGAGTTAGTATAAAAATTGTGTAATTTCTTGGTTTATATATAGGTATTAGGTATTACATGTGATAGGATAATAGTCATAATTAGAGTTTTATTAGGATTTGAATTATATTACAATCAATCGGGTTGAATTATTGAATCACACGATAAATATTCCAAGGCTGGTATTAGATATTAGGTATTACATGTGGTATAATCTGTTGCTGATAACAGTTTTATTAGGATAAATATTTCTTCGTTTGAATTACCTGATAGCTTCGTTTATTAATTCCAAAATAACCGAATAGAAAGATATTGGCCTAATAGAAAGATATTTACCTTCTACGAAAGATTTAATCGGTTATTTTGTTAATTCCAAAATAAGAGCATCTTTTCCCATCATTAAAATTAAATTTGAAAATTTTAGATAGTTGGATATATCAGTTTATATGCAAGCAAAAAAGATTTGAGAAATAGGTTCTCTGGCCTCCCATCTCACAATCTCCAGAAACTAAAAAAATGTGATTCACAAAAACGATTTACAAATTTCTTAGAAACTCAATGTTCGGCAAAACATAGACATGAAAAAAAAAACATAATTTAAACACAACAATTACTGCATGAATATATTTTCTGCAAAACAAAAGAAAACCTGCGTCATATCACATGATATAGCAAATAAATCCCATGACTCTAGAAGTTACATAAATCAAAAATAACAAAAACAGAAAAAAATTCTCATGTCAGATTCCATCAAGGGTATCATCATAAGTTTGTACTACTCGTTGGCTACCACAAAGAGGACACTTATATTTCGTATGATTCAACAGCCGATCAACGCATCGCAGGTGAAACCTGTGGTTGCATTTGGGAAGCAGCCTCAGCTTCTGCCTGTGTTCAAAATCCTTGCAGCAGACCAAACATATCTCCGGTAGATCGTAACGGGTAACCGTAGAAGAAAACGGTCGTAAACGCTCGTTATACACGAGCTGTTGCATTTTCTTCAACTGTTGGCCGTGATCCCGTTCGTTCCGCTCAGAACGCTGAACGAAATAGTCCTGAGATTGCATTAGCGATCAAAATTTTCTGTTGGGAGCACAATTAATCGATTTGGTGTTGAGAATAAAGGAGAAGGTGAATTTTTATGGAAAATTGGTTATCCTTCAAATTGGCTATATTTGATGTTGATGGCAATGCACGGTTGTTCCACAACTTGAGGGAGTCGAGCAACTTTCGGATTGAAATAGTATAAAAGTCTGTGATTTGAACGATAATGAGAATACTTAATATGATCCATTAAAAAATTGATTTATTGGTCCATAAAAGGGCTAATATTAGAAAAAAAACCCCCCTGAACTTTTAAGGTGACGTTCTCAGTTATTTTAATTCGTCTAAATACCCTCTACTTTAGGGGTTTCACAAATAGTCCTCCTGAAATTTTTTTATCCATTGCAAGAATGAATAGGACCCAGATACAGGTCGTTGGGAAAGAATAAAGTATGAATTGAATCAGTACTTATTATATTTGTATGAGAAAAGTGTTCCTAAGGTGACGTCTTAGATAACCATCTAAGTACGCGGCCTAAAATCACATTATTGAGCTATATTGTGGATGATCCGCTCCGTTGAACTTGATCTACATATTCTAAAACCCTTACACACTAAGTTTAGGGTGAACCCATCGTCGTTTGACCCTCCGTCGAGTCGTGTGAAAAGTTCTATTCATTCGAAACATTTAAAATTGATACGATTGGATGAATGGTCAAACGACGATGGGTTCACCCTAAACTTGGTGTGTTGGGATTTTAGAATATGTAGATCAAGTTCAACGGAGCGGATCATCCACAATGTAGCTCAATCATGTGATTTTAGGCCGTGTTCTTAGATGATTATCTAAGGTGTCACCTTAGAAACACTTCTCCCTATTTGTATTCACATAATAATAAAGAATATCGACACGATTATATATGATATAGGGCGTGGGAAAGAATAAAGTATGAATTGAATCAATACTTACTATATTTGTATTCACATAATAATAAAGAACATCGATACGAAGCAGAACTCATAGTCCACATTTACCAAATTTGAATTATGTCATCGTCCAGACAAGTGGAAAATATGTTCAGATGCAAAATAAACACAAGGAAAACAAATAATTTTGAAAAATATATAAGTAATGTGACATAAATATAATAAATTTCTTAATTCTGGTCTATCAATCTATCTGACAGACTGTGAATCTAGGATTAGAATACAAATCATATCCTACCAATAGGGAATGAGTCATTGAGTATCCATATTCGCTCGCATGTTATCGGATCCAAATACGGATATGTGGGCGGATAACCGCATCCGTTTTGTACCTCTAATCCAGGAGACCTCATAGATTTCAACGTGCTGCTCGTTTCTCAGCTCGAGCTCTCACTCCTCAACAATGGGAGCATCATCATCAAGGTCAACCTCAATCAACTCCTAATCCTCTCTCTTCCCTCTCGCTTGTTTGATCTCAGCATCCGACAATGGCGATCCCATCTCGGGTCGAATCGGTCGTCTCCTCCATCGTCTCAGTCCATCCCCACGAGATCTCTGCCCTAGTCCACTCCTCCTCCTGCTTCTTCTTCGTGAGTTCGAATCCTTCAATTTCATGATTTCATCCTAAATCCCTTAAAGTTTACCTCTTTTTGGTTGGATTGATTAGTTGGTGCTTCGAATATCAGATTTTGAGCGCGTATTTTGTGATATTGCCTCTGCGAGATGATGGGGCGATCTCGTTAGGGTTGGGGAATCTTCCAAGTTTGTTCGTGGGTTCGCTTGTTTTGACTCTCATTGCTGCTCCGCTTTCGACCCTTTTCTTTTCTCTGCCCAATTTGTCTAAATCGAGGGTAAGATGAATTCTTTTCTTTTCTTTTCTTTTTTGGGTATGTTTGAAGATTATAATTACTTGGCACGGTATTGTAAATACTAGAAGTTAATAGTGGGGAATTACCGGTGGTCTTTTGTGAGTGAAATTGGAATGGTTTCGTTTAGTTCTTTTCCCCCCATCTAATTTCTTTTTATTGTTTAATTAGTTACTTTACAATGGAAAATTGAATGGAATTAATTCTCTAGATGAAATTTTGTTGTTATTTAATACATGGGAGCAAGTCCATCCTCCAAACAACTCCTTCACTGTGGGGTTAAGTTTTGCTTTCTGGCATCTATAGAAGGATAAGCAAATGATCTTTCGCGTGTGAAATTATAAAAACCGTAGCTTTTGGTTTGTGAAAGGATAAATTTTGTAGCTACTTTGATTACTATATTTTATGGTACAACTATACTTTTCCTTGACAAGCCTTTTTCAATCTAAGATTCTAATACAAAATTAAGTTCAATGTAATCCAAAACTGAAATAAACTAAAACAAAGTATAAAATACAACACTATCATAATCAGAAATGGAGATAGTATAAAGGGGGGTGATAAAATCTGTCAACTAATGATTAAAATTTAAGGGCTAATCCAAGTAAACATTATTGTTAACTTAAGCATATAAATCATTAATCCATTTGCCTTCATTTAAGCACTTACCGAGAAATTTCCTCTCAGACACTTCAAAAATTGATTAAACCTGTTAGCAATTAACAAAGAAAAATAACTACTCCAAGAAATTAGGAGCTACAGTTGTACCAAGAAATTAGCTCATTAATTCAGAAAAGCAGAGCATCATCTGACAAACTTGAAGAAATCTTGAGATTTTTCGGACGCCTTATCAGAAAAGAAGGATATTTGAGGTTGGAAGGACTAGTACCAGATTGATTGTATTGTTTGATTCGTAGTACGAGTTAACAAGATACACCACATTGGGATGTAAGCAGTTGAACAGTGGTAGACTTAATAGGTATGTTTTTTGGGGTCGTCAGACAGTTGAGATTATGAATGCTGACCTGTGAGAATAAACACTATGTTAATAAAAGCTTGTATATTTGACATGTATAAACAAGTCATGATATAGTATATTATTGAAAATAAAGTTACTTCTTTAGTTAAAAGTTAAAACAATAATAATGAATTCAAATTAAATTGGTCAGTTAAAATACATACTCTTAAGCTTTAAGACAACAAATAAGTCTAATAAGAAAGAAAAAAGTACTATAATAAAATAACTCAAAAGTCAAAATAACTTGTTGAATCACTTACTTATAGTGCTCTTCTTCATTTCTTGAATCCCTAGTTTCGGCAAATTGGATTAAGACCACACCAGGAGATGGAACTCACGAAGATCGAAATCCAAAGGTGAGTGGGAGCTTAGATACTGATGGAAAGGAAAGAAAGATCAGAGTTTTGTTGGATTGATAAAAGAGTAAAAAGAGAGATGAAACATATTTTTCTTATTACAAAGAAGGCCTTTTGTGTTAAATTTTATTCTTTTTATACATGATGCTTATATTGTACGTTTTCTGCTACTGTCTATAGTGAGTATCTATGTCTTTAAAAAATTAACATTATTTACTTTTTGATCAATATCTGAGTTCGTAATATTGTCTTGAATTTCAGGCATTGGTTTTGATACACAGATTTTTTAGTGTATCCCTTCTCCTATTTTTTGTTCTTTGGTTTACATCTTCAGCCGGACGACTGCCTCCCAACCCCAAGGTGAATGCACAAACAAACACAAAAATAAAGTGTTTCTCTTAGTGATCATGTACCTATTGTTGATTTTATATTACACTGGTTGAAATTTCTATGTCTAGGTCTCAGTTTTGCATGGATCGATAGTTGAGGGTACGAAAGACAATACTGCTGTAGGCAATCCTACTGAGTCTGCTGGATGGGGAAACCATGGCTGGTTTTACATTTCAGTCAGGATTGGGTTTTTCCTATGGGTATAACTGTTGCTTTAATTATTTTTTATTAAAAGTGCTGTTGAAAGCAACTTGTCAATTTACCTTCTGACTTAGCTTTATCTGTTCTCTGAAGGTTGCCTTGCTTAATCTTATTACAATCTCTTCAACATGGGCCCGAGTAATTGATATTATGGATAATGAGGTAAGATTCCTTTCAAAGTGCAGAACAGTGGTTGAGAATGTAATCCCTGATTTTTCTTATTAGCATTCAGTCAGGTTCAAGATTGTTCGGCTTTGTTGGTGCCGGAGCTACACTTGGGCAGCTTTTTGGTTCATTATTTGCAGCAAGCATGGCTCGTTTAGGACCATGTATGTACAATTTTTATTAATAATGAATGTGCTTCTTTCATATACTATTTTGCAGTCGTATCAATACAGATGAATTCTTTCATTATACTACAGCTAATCATCTCGTGTCATGCCATTTTAATTGTTGTTTTGGTTCATTCTCAGTTTTACTACTATTTTCTGCTCTGTTAATGGAGCTTGCTGCGCAATCATCAAAGGGAATCAACCTTGATACATGCCATGGTGAAGAATTATCTTCCATTAGGTATGTTCCTAAAAAGTAACAGCTCCAAAATTTGTTTGTTTGAACTAATTTATAATTAAAGTATTTTCATTGAACTTCTTCAATTTATTGTTTACTCTGGAAAAAGGTTTCATTTAGCCATCTCTGTCATTTACTGATTTACATTTACTGGTTTAAGCCAGAAAACAACCAGAAAAGGAGAATTTACCAGTCTGATCAAGGTTTTAAATATCGTTTATTGGGGATTTATCGGACGGTCAAAAGCCATATCGGATAGCGGAGATCAGGGATATATTGGGGATAAGTAGTATTTATTGGAGTGTCATATCGAAGGGTGTGCATGCATAATATAATGTCCTAAAATATAATCTTGAATAACATACAATCAAATAACAAGATAAACTAACAAACTGTAGAAGCTTAATGAAATATAAACATACCATAATATAAATGCACATGTTTTAGATCACTAACCAAATGTAAATACACATGTTTAAGATCACTAACTGATAATTCCAACAAATTTTACCACTAAACTCGGCTGATTTATTGCCTTATCACCGCTTTACCGCCGATAATTACCCCAAAACGATAACCAATTAAAAATTGAACTTATCATAGCAGAAGGGCCCCAAAACTGATGATTCGCCGATAATATTGATTTATCAATCAATATTTAAAACCTTGAGTCTGATAACTAAGCAACATGGGTGAATGCGATTAAATTCTGAAATGAAAAAGTAACATTCATTTGAGAATACATATGCTTTAGTGCTACATGCATTACAGGGGAAAATGAATGCTTTTTCGCATAAACACACCTAACACAGATGGAGATTTTGGTTTGGCTACCCATGAAAGATATGATCTTAGAAGAAGAAAAGGAGAAATGGAGATAAAATCTGAAAAAGTTTAGGACAGAGAAGGAGAAAACAGTTTATCTGCAGAAGATTTGACACCTTGATCAGGCATGCTTCCAATTGGATTTCACATCTGTTATTGGATCATTGGATCGCATGTCATGTGATTGATGGAGGGAACTTAAGTTTCTTTATTGATTCTCGGTAGCTCATTTAGCAACCGTCACTTCATACTTGATTTTATTTTCCATATAAATGTGTGTTTGTAGATGCTGGAAGTCTTATTTGGACCATTCACATGTTATATAACACAAGTTATGTGTCCCCCCTTTCATATAGAGAAGATAATCAACATATTGAGGCTGATGATGAGCTATCATCTGTCCCTGTGGAGTCTTCTCCAAAATCACCTACATATATGGTGAAACCCAATCTGTGGATCATGCTAGAAGGGCTGCAGCTGATACTTTCATCAACATATCTCCTATATGTCTCCTTATTTCTGTGGCTGAGTGCAGTTATCTCTTCCTTCTTCTATTTTCAGGTATAGTTAATTTAATTGGGGTAAGTTTCATTTTCCAAAGTACTTTCTTCTACGCTCGTTTAGATGCCCAATACATATTATCAAAATGTTTCCTGAGTGCTCAACCTGAAAGTATGCATCAGTAGTATATCAAAAAATCTTAGAGTGCTTGACAATCGTATATAAAATTATTGATTGCCCAGAAAAATATATTCCCTGCATTGAGCGAACAGAATGAAAACACATTTTAAATCATATAAAGAAAGCTTGTAAAACAAGCCTTTGGGAAGTGAACACCATGTAAAAAAGATTACTAACAATTCAATTTTGTCACAATTGACAGAAAGTAACGATAATTGCCATTACTGTCACAAGCCATGTTGCTCGAAGAAGATTGTTTGCACTGATAAACAGTGTCATTGCTGTTTTCATTCTTGCTGGACAACTCTCTGTAACGGTACGATGCTGACTGATATAGAGTTTCTTAATGTTTTGTTATTGATTTAATTCCAAAGTAATGCTCTTTTGCTCACACATAATAAAACATTATTTATGTTTATATTATTTCCGCACCTTTATAACTGTATGCTGACAGAAGCAGCATTTGTTGATGAGCTTGTAATAGTTTAATTCAAAATAGTTAGCTTGCTTCCTCATGAAACTGCAGGCTAGTGCATAAAACATGCAATATATCCTAAAGTAGTATAGGCATGAGTTATTTTTGGCATTCTCAAAATTTTGATGAACTCAGTACCTCATGATGAGTACATTTGCACCTAGATATGCTTGGAAAAGTTCGAAACATAACTAAACTACCTCCAACATATATATTTTAACTAAACTACCTCCAACACATATATTTTTGTTAAATGTTTCATCAATGATGGTAAGAGTTTTTGGTCTAAAAGTTGAAGTTTGAAAGTTAGGGACTGCTAACTATCAATGGTACATGAGACTATTGAACCCAATATTGACGACCATGTTTCTGTGAAATTGTGAAACCATGCAGCTGCAAGCTATTACATGCTCCCACGTCTAGGATTGACACGCTTTTCTGTTAGTTGTGATACCAACCTTTAGAATCTCCAGCCTGAATTTAACACACACACACACACACACACACACACACACAGTGTTGTAAATAGCGGCCAATAGCCGGGCTATAGCGGCGCGAATAGCGGTCGCGGCCCTTCAGCGCTACGCGTAGGGGTTTCGCGGCTGGCTTAAGCGAGAAAATCCGCTATTCATTCGAATAGCGCGTAAAAGCGGATTTTAGCGGGTTAAAAGCGGGTTTTCGCGGTTAAAAGCGGATTTTCGCGGTTAAAAGCGGATTTTTGTTGTTAAAAGCGGCTAAACCCGCTAAACCCGCTATCACACATATTATGATGCTATATTTCTTGAATTTCTTCATAGTTTCATTCATACAACAAGCTTATTAATTGTTATTTATTGATAATACAAGAAATTTACAACTAATTGAATTTTTAGATTTTTTTATGAATTTTCTTATTATTTAGGATATGTAAATATATTTAAATTTGACCGCTATTTGACTGTGCGCTATTTGCCGCGATTTCGCCGCAATAGCCCGATATAGCCTTAGCGGTACCTCGCCGCGACGCGCCGCGATCCGCTATCAGCAACCTTGCACACACACAAACAAACACACCATGAACTCTCACCACTTTCGCATAAAACTAGCAGGCCTTTCATGTTATCGAGCTACTTTAAAATTTCAAAAAATTTTATTCAATATCATCTATTTGTGAACTTAAAATCTGATGGAATTTTCCCCTTTGTAATTTAGATAGGCAGTGAAAAAACTAGCTATTCTGAATTATAGCCTGAGAGTTATGGAGGAGGGATGATATTTTTGGGAAATATTCATGGTATTTTTCTATAATAGACGTGTATGCTTAATTTCCTGCTAAAAAAGTGGGAACTCATGGTACTTTCGAGTCTAGCCTTTAGCCAACCCACTTGGTATTGGATGTTGGATGCTACTTACTCAGCAAAAGACATATGGGATGCCTCCTTTCTACTTCATAATTGTTTTACTTAGTAATTGCAGAGAGAACACAGATAATATATAGTTCATATCTTTTGTCACCTGCTAATTTTCTAAATAATTCTACAGGGTCGTATCCTGACAATTGCTGGTGTTACTTTTGCTATATGTTCATCCCCATTTGTTTCTATGTTAAATATGGTTGCTCTAGCTTTTTGGCCCACATGGATTGCTGTTGCTATCTCTGAGACTCTTCGGAAGGTATGGCTACTAGAAATTCAATAAGTCTAGCATTCTAATTATTTGCAAACAATGTAGTTGAAGCTTTGTAATATTCTTAGATTCAGCTTTGTAACATTCTTAGATTCATGGCCAATAGTACATGTTCACATGTTGAACGCAATTCTCTTGATAACAGCCATATTTCTAGAGAAATCTGAACTCATCTCAACCTACCATGTGGTTACTAGGAGTGACAATAGAGTCGAGTTAGCTGGGTGCATGTCAAACCCAGAATTGACCGGACCCGCATAAGCCAAACCAGAACCTGGTCTGTTAAATAAACAGTTCAGGTACCCTCATCCATACCCATGAAAAAGCAGGATCCCATAACTGACCTGGTAACCCGCTTAGGATATGGATCGGATCGAGTATAGTTAGATTAAGTTTCCAAAGTTCTAGTTTCTTATTTTAAATAAATAATAGATGAAGTTATGTATTCTAGCATGGATTATTCTTGGACCTGGGTGAAAAAGTGTAGTTCATGCCCAGACTAGCTAAGCATGGCATGAGATATGTGCGTATGTGTACACACACACATATATGTATGTGTGTATTTATGTGGGTGTATACATACATATATAGTGATATTGAGAATTACGTAAGAAACATTGAATTGCCTGTTTTAATAAAATGAGAGTTAAAAAGTCATATTATTTACTTATCTTACTTTCTATTACCTTGTAGGTAACTACCTATGTTGTAACAAGACCAGGAAGGGAACTCTTGTTCACTGTTGTCTCTCAGGATGAAAAGTACAAAGCCAAGGTAATCTGCTGCATTAGTCAAAAGAAAGGTTTATGTAGTTTTATGATATTGGTAACTAAATAATAAAGTGAGATCAAATAAATAATGCAGTATGTTACTTTTCATGTTATTATTTTTTAGTTTATATATTAGAGAAATTGATGGAAAAGGGAACGAGAAGGATCACAAAAGTTAGTAGGGGAAAAGTTGAAGCATGGACTTATAACTGGCACTGTTATGTGTTTATCAATGTTTAAAGCATATGAGACTGGGCAAAATTTCAGCCCTTATCCATGTAATTTTATATTTAAGATGAACAACCCATGGTATTGTTAGTAACCGGATCTTCCTGCAATTGTGAGAGAGGACAAGAGAGAACTGAAAAACAATCACAGAAGGCAACAATTTTTACATGGTTTATGAAGATGCCTATGTCTATGGCCACAATAAAGTTCCTTTTTTATCTCTGATAAAATAACAATTACAAGAGAGTGTCCACTTTTGTAGAGAGAGACTAGGGCTACAAGTTACATGTAGAATAACCTATATAAATTTCTTTTGATGAGAACTTCACCTATATAAATTTCTCAAAATTCTCTTTTGATGAGATCTTCACCTATATAAATTTCAATAAAGAAGAATTCTCAGTTGTTCAATTATCTTTCTTCCATTAAGGAGGCCATAATTTTGAGAAAGCATGCCTGCTATGTTGCATGGAAATTTTCAAATCAAGATCTCTATAACAAGGATCAAATATTGGACTCTTATTCTCCATATAGCAGTTACAACTTGAATATTTGTTGATTGTAGAAATTATTCTACATATTATTGGAGATCCTACTGAATTGTGGCCCATCTATTATACCACTACTCTCGTGGTTATTACTTACTAACATGGTTCTTAATCTTTGGAATACACTGACTTAAAAGTACAATTTCCATTATGTCCATTTTAAAGCTTTAAAAAATAGCTCTGATTGGTTTTCAATCCAAACCCAAATCTCAATGTAAAAGATGTCAACAGACATATGTATAAACATTGAACCAATCTAGCAGGATATGTACCCTGAGACTATGTCATGTTTTTTCTATTGAATTATGGAAGTATTGTTGATGAAACAAAAAATGAGTACTATATTCCTGCAGGTCTGTATAGATGTCATTGTCCAAAGGCTGGGTGATGCTGCTGCTGCTGGAATATATAAGTTGCTTGTTGGCAACCTTGACAAGCGTCCATCTTTGGTATCTCTATATGCACTACCGGTATGTTCTATTGTGGTACTTAGTGAGCATTTATTTCCAATCGGTATTTGTCAACTATTGTGTTTCTTAATGAGCATTTATTTCCGATCCGTATTTGTCAAATCATAATATTAGCAGAATATGCATGCAAACAACATTACTATTAAGTCTCATGCATCGCATGAGTGACAATAAGATTGTAATATAATAACCATATGACCATGTGGATTAGGCTTTCCGGCATAGAAAATGTTATATAATGACGTTTTTGTGGGGTTGTAACCCTTTTCACCGTGATAATAAATCCATTATACTAAAGAGAAAACAAACAAATAAAGCTAAAAAGATGAACTTGCGGGAAGCCATAACAGTTTTAACTAGGGTGGTCAGGAGCTGTAACAGATGCATCTGAATATTCTTGCTCTCAAATTTTATTGGAGATAATAATTTCAAATTATCCGGTTTAAGCCTTTTTCCTTCTGATTTCAGCTATGTTTCGTGTGGATAGTCACAGCGTTGCATCTGGGGAGACGTCAAACAAACCTGGCTAAGCTCCAAGCTGTTTCTGCGCTCTAACTCCTCCGTTTAGACTCCAACGAGGGACACGTCTTGAGGTCTGAAGAAATTGAAAGATACGATATACTTGCTCAACATAGAGCACATGAGAAACAACAACAGTGTAACACTAGAAAAGGTAATATGTAATACTGATTGTAGTTCAACCGTGTTTTTTTATACACAAATGGAATACATTTGCCATTTTTTTTTTAATTTAAAAGAAAAACAGAGCCCCGAATTCATGTCCAAGTTCAGTTTTACTGCTACAGGATTGACTGAAGTTTCATGTTCATTAGTTGTTTATGTCTTTATTTCGCGTTGGCTAGTAAATAATAAAAACTGGAAGCTTAAGTTCACTTATGGCTAATGAAAGAAGCTAAGATTTTTAAACTAACATAAATCACCTATGAATGATCATCACAGCCTACGAAAAAGTTTATATACTATATGTGTTCCGGTAGGAACGGTCTATAACATTAGATTAAAATAGGATTCAGGTTGGATATGGATCTGTCTTGTATCTGAAAAAATCTGTAAGCTTTCCTAGTACATATGTATTTCTGGACAAGAATCTGACTGGGAATGCAAACTTGAATTTTATTTTTTTTGGGGGGTTCATATCAGAGATTGGGTGTCCTAATCAGATTCCAATTCCTCTATAATATATATTTTTTACTGGATTCGCTTACAATCTTACTGTTAGGTAATAAAGAGCATTTGCAACTACTTAGGAAATCTGTTAGAAAGAAACACGTTTGTTAGGTATCTCACTTTTCTAGCCTATTTCCGCTCTTTGAGCTTGGACATTGGTCTCTTAAGTTTTCAACAGGAAACACTCTTTTCTAGATGAGTGTGTCAGGACCTTTCCAAGAGGTTTCCACTATTTTGGTCAACCAAACGGAGAAGAAGGCGATAAACTTTCGTTAACTTCATCTAATGACAAACTTCAGTTAATGGTAGACTCGATATTTGATAAAATTTTCATCGTTTCCATGAAATATACATATTGAGAAACTTTTTAATAAATCTAACGATTTATGTTTCAACAGATGGATCCTTGACTTTTGGCTAAAAATTATTATTGTTATTATTATGATCTGCCCATGTTCCGCTCAAGATGACAATTCTCACGTGCTTAACATTATGGGATAGATTATGTATCGTCGCTAATCTTGTGAAGAGGATTTGAATTTATAATTTATGTCTTTTTTGCAACAATAGTCTATGATACATTGATCGGAGGTTTTTTTAAAAAAGACCCTTTTTGCTAAATAATTAGCAAAGCCGACCGTTTTGCTAATTATTTAGCAAAACTGACCTCTTTTTGACCAACAAGTCGGTTTTGAAAAATTACTTCTTCGAAACATACGGGACTATTAGTCGTGTATGTTTAGTGGCCAGTAATTGGTCACTAATCTTAAGCCAGAAAACTCACGGAACTACTAGTCCCGTGGGTTTGTTGAGCCCTCGACAAAATATACGGGAGTAGTAGTCCCGTACGTTGAGCAGAAACTCTCTCAAGCTCGCCTAGCAAATTCACGGGACTACTAGCATATCCACGGGACTAGTAGTCCCGTGAATTTGCTAGGCAGACACAAAACCTGCACAAAACATGCACAGACCCCTTTTGCTTCATATACATTGTTTTTTGACCACAATTTGTGCAAAAATATAACATTCACTTCGTATAAATTGATATACAATATAATATATATAAAAGTTATAAACTTTAAGAAATAAACACTGGATAAGAACACATTTAATCAATTCACAACATCATAACACAAGAGATATGTCATATACATATCAACACAACAAAATATTATAAACAAATCCAAATATATCAAGTCTATCCATACGACAAAATATATTCGACATATTGTGGAGCATGCTGTGCAAAACCAAACTGTCTAAGCACACGATCCGGCACATGCATCTCCATAATTTCAAAACAAATGAGAGGAATGCTGACTCTCCATATATTGTGTCCCTCCATGCAAATCAGTGGTAGATGAGGTAGGTAAAGTGCACATGGTTGCCACTCGAACTACAAAGTATTTCATATATTAATAACTCTTTGAAATATATCGGTAGATTTAAATAACTTAAATTCAATTTTGATACCTGATAAATTTTCATTCGGTTGGGCTCTCCTCTATAAAAATCTAACTGTCTTGCCGGGGCCTCATCGTATGCTTTAGTGACGTTCCATCTGCATGTATGATATAAGGTAGGTTGTAGTTTCAAATTTAAAAGTTAAACTTAAATTTTCATTAATTAAATCCAAAAAAATTTACCCGCATCCTAGTGGAATCTATCCATCTAAATCTTGCGTCTCGCATAATCTTGGTCTTAAAACCAATCTCTCACATACCCAAACTTGTAACAATATCAAACATCCCTTGAGCTCCTTATTTTGCATATAAGCAACCTTCGACATTTCCCTATATATGTATGCTAAAACAACATTACCCCATGATAATGTCCTGCACCTATTGAAGTCCTGGAGAAGCGGTAACCACTTATCACATGACAAATGTATTTAGTCATTTTATAACAATAATGAGCAAAATCTAGCAAAAACGTTCAAGATAGTACATTATAACAATAACAAGTTGTCTTACCTCAAATGTACTTTATGTTTACTTGAATCGGGAAAAAGAAGCATCTTGATCATGTGCAAAATATATGCATGAGTATGCTGCTGGATCATGACTTGGGATGCATCGTCTGGCAAGGGGTTTGTGAAATTTTCTTTAGCCACTTCAATCTAATATATTCTCATGCAAGGACTCCAGAGATAGTCCTAACAAATCATCACAGACTCGACGTCACACATGCCTATTAGTCACAGTAACACAAGGACCATCAATGCGGATACCAAAGATCATTGCTACGTCCTAGAGAGTAATAGTCGCCTCGTCGATACGTAGATAAAAAGTGTTAGTCTCTGGTCTCCATCTATCCTTCAATGCATTAAGTAGTGCCCAATCAAGCTTCATCCATCGCAATTTTGAGCATGTGAGAAGACATGCTTGGGCTACTAGAATAATGATACACGGATCTTCAAGTGGCCAACGCGTATGTCCAAGACTATGATCAATCATAACTAGCTCCGGTCCACTCTGCACAATAAAAAAAAAAATTAGAATATAACAATGAGTAAGTAATATGTGACTATAAACTTATGGCTAAAAATTTATGAATCATTACAGATGTAAATGATATACTCTCTAAACGGTGGTGTGACTGATCATAGAGGACGTCATCACTAACCGACCCGAGAAGCATAGTGTATATACCTGCACATATAATTATTAACTTATTAGTTTCTACCGAATTAATAAGACTATAATAATAAAAAATAGAGATAGAAATAGAAAACATATTACCAATTAATTGCTATCTACTTGTTCTTGATGGACAACAAGACCTATTATGACCTAATTGATTACATTGTCCACATTTAATTCGCAACACTACTCCTTCCCGGCATTGATCCATAGCACCTCTAATGCGCACAGAGCGAGGTCGTCCCACTTGTTTTTTGTATTAAGGTGGTAATATACATGGTATATTATTATCCGGCCAATAACGACTATCGTCTGGAGGATGTAAACTCTCCTTATAAGCATTTCAATAATAATTTGTTGAATACCAAGCTGAGCAATAATGATCATATGACAATCTAGTGCCACCATCCTGATTAGAACTAGTCGCTAAAATATGTTCACATGGCATTTTTTATAATTATGGTATATTACAAGTACAACTTTACTCTTGGCATAAAGATAGATGATGTAAGTACCTTCACAATCTTTAACCTCCTATTCATTATCGTTGAATGACTCAATTCTACATGTTCTTATGGCCACAATCATTTTCTGCAGAATACTCTTATTTTTTCAGAGTGTAACTACTCATTCAATTTGCACCATCACCACGTCTCTTAATAAAGTATGTGTTTAATCTATAAAACGTCCTTACAACCAAGACTTGAATTGACATAGCACGGGCACCCTTGAGTAGGTTATTAAAACTTTCAGAGCAATTAATTATCATCATATAATAGTGCGCTCCACTATCTCTACGTAATGCCCATCGATCTTTATATTGTGGCTTCAAGTTTTGTTCAATCCAGTTGTGTGCTTCAACTGATAGGAATTTAATTTTCTCTCTACAATGTTCATATACCAGTGTGTCGGCTGCACACCCGGCTTGCCACAATAGATTTTGTAAATTAACCTCTCTATGTTTTTTTTTTAAAATTATCTCTTATATGAAGCAATACCGGTGATGGTGTAGTGCACTCCACCCCTCGTGTAAGACTCGTGGAATTCCTTTCATCCGGTCAGAAATAAAAGTAATCATTCTAGGACTTTAAACAATAGGGATGTATCTGTAAATACATTAAAAAAACCACTTCCAACTCAATTTATCCTCCACCTTCATAACTACGAAAGCTATTGGAAATAGCCCACTATTTGCATCTACACCGGTCGCAACCAAGAGCACTCCTTTGTGCTTGCCATATAAATATGTGCCATCGATGCTCAAGAGTGGACGACAAAAATAGAACCCTTTGATAGTGGGTCCAAATGCCCAAAATACTTACATGAACCTCTCCACTTCTGATGCGATCTCTTTAGACAAGATTTTATATTCGGTACTTGGATTTTTCCTCTTAATTGCTTCAAGATATTGCGAAAGTAATTCGTAAGATTTTTTTCCAATCTCCAAAGATTTTAGTCAACGCCTTTCTCCGTGCATCATATGCTTTATACTTGAATATAGTTATTTTTCTCATATCATATACCCTATTATCTGACTTGGAGTAAGATCAAGTTCTTGCCTAACTTCGGGCATAATTAGTTTCAAGATATAAGAGGAAGTTGTTGCCTTATAATCGGCATTGACAATCAGATTGCAACATGTTTGAAGACCGTAATAATTAGAGTTCATAAATTTCCCATTAGATTTTTTTCCTAATAGCTGCATTAAGCTTCCATGGACACTTTAAATTTCTCTCGTCTTGAGCACTTGTATACTCTCCTTGAGCTTTCTCCTTGAAGTAGCACTTTACATGATAGTTAGTTGTATTGGTTTACCGGCTTGAATTTTACCCGATTCTTGATTGCCCATTCACGTATAGTGAAAACTAAGGTTTCCTTATTCTCGAAAAGATCTCCTTTTTTTGAAAGTGAAGTCCTCATGTAGATCGAAATTAGAACCAAGCTCAACGAACTCAG